ACTGGCAATTAGAAAGAAACAAAGCAGCTGGACGTGAGCTGTGGGAGGGGACTGACACAGCTGACACTTGCTCTGAAGATTTGTTCATCTTCTAAGAACAAATTTGAACCTCACAGTATGCACACAGGTGCTGCTGACAGAAGAAATGCAAGTAACTAAGAAGAAATACATGCAGGATAACTATTTTAATTCTTGAATTCATGACAGCTTTGGCACCCGATCGTTAGTTCTGTTACTCAGTATAAAGCAAAAATCTTTGGCAGTTTGAGAATTGAACTCACATATAATTATTGAGCTGGCATTCTCTGTGTTCAGCATGCAAAGAAGTGCATGGTAAATTTCTGATGAAAAGACAGGCTCCTTAAGCCACCATGTTACGACAAGACAGGAAGAACAAAGATGACTGCCTTCTTTTCTACCAGCGCCCTAAAATTAACCACACAGAACTATGAATTAATGAATTCCAACGTAAACCTAAGCATTCTAGGCCTTTGACTAATGTAGAAAACAGTGCTCAAGGTATGATTTGTTGAGCTTTGCTGAGGGTGATGTTAGGACTTCCAAGTAGCTTATGATTGTATCCATTCACTCTAACAACCAAACCATACTCTCCAGCCATCAGTTCATACTCCAGTTTAGCAACATCAACTTCAGAAACAGAACAGAAAATCTTAATCAAAGGTTAGCAGGCATGCTGCATATAGGGGATGTCAATATAAAGTCACAGGCAGAAGATTAGGCAACATTCACCATTCATCATTACCATAAAGGTTATAAGCTACTTTCCTACTGAGGCAGCTGCACTAACACCTACAGTATGAATTTATTCTTTCCTGAAGAAAACATTCCATTCCCTGTCTTCTAGGGAACATAGCTACTGAGCAACAGGAAAATTATATGAAAGGAGGAACATGTTTATAATAGGTATTAGATCTTTTAACTGATGCTACTTCATCACTGATGCAGTGTTCTGCCTTGGCTTGCAAGGCAGATGACAGAGAGATATTCTTACCTCTGTGCAGATCACTGCACCTGTGGAGAAATCAGGTGGAAACGTATCACATAAGAAAGAGAATCTTCTTTACATAAGAAAGAAAAAAGAGGAGGAGCTTCAAGTATATGAGCATTTTTCTTCTAGACTATTCTGAGATTCTGTGTTTTTTCCCCCCACCAACCTGCATACTCTGAACTACTTTCAAGTCTAAAGAGAACTTGGAATTGTAGATATCTAGCATTAAGAACCAAAAATTCCACTCGTGGTGAAAACAGATTTCATACCTATTCAGTTTTCAAATTGTTCAAGACTGGCAAAATGTCTTTATTTGCTTCCATTTTCTTCATAGGCCACAATATTACCCCTCTAAGGCAAAATCAATAAAAATGCTCTAAAACAGCAGCAATCCTCCTTAGGAACTAGTGTCCTACAGAATACCACTATGCTATAATAGTAATAAAGTTTTGCTTTGTCCAGCAAAATCTCCATGATTCCAAAGAAGATATTTTGTGTATACAGAGAAAATATGAATGTCTGGAGAGAATGAAGAATTGTGAGGCTCTGGCATTTTCCATGTTTTTTTATCTACTACCAGATTCTCAATCCTCAAATTGGTTCCTTCCTTCCAGATCCTTTAACTCTGGAGATGACCTCTTTTTCTCTTTTTTTTTACTTGGATCTCTACCTGAAAGCATTACCAAAAAAAAGGGCTAAAGGGCTTTCAGTTCTTAAAGCAGCTTTATGCTGAGAAATTAAAGGTCAAAGCAACAATAAGAATGCCAGTACTTAGTCACACTCTTCTACTGACACATCATACAGACACATACTGCAATTCACTCCCATAAGGACAGATACTAGAGTAGGAATCCCTTTGAGCTCTCACACAGTGACCAAAACATGAAAAAAACACATTAACCTAAGCTTGGCACATCAGACTAGTCTAAGACATTCGAGTTTCTACAACTCAAATTGAGCATTAATCAGATTCAAACACCTCTGAACTACTAGACTGTGTGACAAACAGCCAGCTGAAATTGGGTTGACTGGGAAGAGCAAAGTTAAGAGGAAAAAAAGAAGGGAGATCCAAGAAGAAAAAAATAGTACACTACCACAATAGCATCAACAGAAATAATACTGATTGAATAGACCATATAATACCAAGCGTCCACTAAGAAGATGACCTTTTCTCAAACACTGGAATAGAAGAGCCATAGAAAAAAAGCTGTAGAAAACCCACTTCAACTTTACAAAATCAATTTATGTGAGAATGAAAAACAAAAGACGTGACCTTTTCATTAGCATTAAATAAACCAATTCCATTGTACTGAAGTCTTCCTTCTGAACATGAGTTATTGCCTGACCTTTTTTATTCCACTGCAGGATACAAAGTGCTTAGGCCAGCATTTAAGCTCTTTACTTCTTCCAAAATCCAATATACAGTACAGAGTTTTATGCAGCCATAGAGGAAAAAACGTGCACACCTTTCTTAACCTCAGCAAGGGAGCTTGTGTAGGTACTGTCAGTGATCTGTACAGTCACCCTGAAAGCTGAGCCCAAGACCACACAGACCAGCAATCCACAACTCTGCTGTTGTAACAGGAGTGGATATTTGACCTAGGGAGCAAAAGCAGTTAAGGCTGGGATACAACTAGCTATAAAATGCTACCACTGTAATTCTGCACCAACATCTCTCTCCACAGACACATGCTAGAAAAAGCTATTTGGTATAACAAGCAATTTATGTACAAAATAAACAACAAAAAAGCATACAGTGTACAGTGTTAATGGGAACCCAGAGAAAGCCTTGTTTTGCACATTAGTTAATATGCTCATTACCTTCAGGTTTCTGGAATTTATTGTCCTTCTTGTACCACGTGCATCCCTGTGCTGTGCTCACACCTTTTACTGGATAAGCTGTCTCTAGGAAATCAGGTGTCTTCAGGGAGAAATCAGTGCCTGACACAGAAACACAACATGCAGCTTGTTACACTTCAGATCTGCCATCCAAGCATGCTGTCTTCTATAACAATTTTCTCCTCTGTTCTTCTTTTACATCCCTTACTATATTAAGTTGTATGCAACTCTTTAGACACAAAAATAGCTAATTTAGTCCCACATCAAAACTCTGACCCATGTGCCAATCTTCAAGCAAAGAGCACTGGTTGCACTATCTTTCTAAAACAGTGTGGCTAGTCAGAACCAATACACAAAAGTCAAATTTCTCCAGCCACTTACAGGTTATTCTGAATGCATTTGGACTTTTTTATTTCACTCTGCCTTAAAAATACAGCAAAGAAACAATGCCAGTTAGAATTTGACACAAAATTAAAATGTGTAGAAGCCTTTACGAAATTAACACAAATATCTTTCTAAAGCAGGAAAAACACAAAAATGCACAGATCATTTTTCATTTATTGCCTATTCCCATGCAGAAAAAAATAGGGAAAAAGACAATGACAGCATTCAATCAGGCACTGATATCTCACCTATTTATTTTCTTTTGGAAGACATAAATCCGGATTTAACCTTAAGTCATAGGCCCAAACATCTGCCCAGTACTGCTCCATGCCTGTGAAGCACATGAGGAGAGAAGGCTCTGGGGCCTCATTGGGGCCTTCCAGTATTTCAAAGGAGCATATAAACAGAAGGGAGAACAACTGTTTACGAGGGTGGATAGTGACAGGACAAGGGGGAATGGTTTTAAACTGAGACAGGGGAGGTTTAGGTTAGATATTAGGAAGTTTTTCACACAGAGGGTGGTGAGGCTCTGGAACAGGCTGCCCAAGGAGGCTGTGGATGCCCCATCTCTGGAGGCATTCAAGGCCAGGCTGGATGTGGCTCTAGGCAGCCTGGTCTGCTGGTTTCTAACATGCTTCTTATCAGTTTTTTAATCAAAGTGAGTTTTGATAGCAACTCTCCTTTCTTTAAAGACTAATCTATTTAATCTGCTCCCTTTTGCCTGACAAAAGTTCAGAAACAGTGAAAGCTGACGTCCAGCAGAACACGGAAGGTGAAAGCTGTAGTTGAGAGAGGGCATGAGGACAGGGGTGTTCCTTAGCACTTAATGATTAAGTGGAATAGGATAGCCACGTACGAGGCAACAATCTTATCTTCTTTCTACTTCTCTTATGGTAAAGAATGGATTAAAGACTTACCTTTTATTTGGGCTCATTTTCTGCAACAATTTCATATACTGGAACACAACACGTGCAACCTGAAGATGGACAAACAAATAGCTTCTTGTATCACCTGGGCATGGCAAAATGACCAAATCCTTTGACTATTTCAGACACACAGACCTCTTGTGGACACAGTCGTCCCTTAAGGAAAGGTTACAGGAAGGCTAAAGGTTAAGGAAATATCTTTGCTCTCTGCCAGCTGGGGAACCCTTGAATAATTTAGCAGATCCATATAACAAAATCAGAGACGTACACTAATAAAATAAAGCACTTATCTAATTTCTAACTGAAGAGCTTGAAACCTGTATGGACGCAAGTCACCACTTATGTAGCACCAATGTGTGCTGTGTGATCTACCTACAGGACAATTCACAGGGTTAGCTTCAGCCTGTGCCAAACTCATTACGTATCTCAAAAGGAATCACTGGAAATAAACTTCCACATGATAGCCTTTGTAAATTCCTGTAAAATTTTGACTGAGCCACAGCTCTGCCCATCTCCTTCCTCCCAGCAGTTCACCACCACGCCATCGGCTCTGGAGGTTTCAGAACGCTACGGGAGAGGTCGGGCAAGGCGTGAGGGCGGCACCAGAGCCCCTCACCTGCAGCTCTTCGTGCCGCCGGGGTGCCCGGTGATGTCGGGGTATCCCCATCCCGACGCGGGCAATATGGCGGCCCGGCACCGCCCTCAGGTGCGGAGCTGCAGCAGTCCTCCCCGCCGGAGGGGGGCGCAAGCGTCACCGCGGCCGCTCGGCCTCGCGGGCGGCAGCCAATTGGAGCGCGGAGAGGGCGCGGCGGGCTGGGCTCGTTCCGCCCCGCCCTCCGTAACGCATTCGGCGCGCGCCGTCGCGGTGCATGCCGGTGCGGTGCGGCGCGACGGGACCATGGCGAGCGACTTCTACCTGCGGTACTACGTGGGGCACAAGGGGAAGTTCGGGCACGAGTTCCTCGAGTTCGAGTTCAGGCCCGACGGTGAGCAGGGCGGCGGGCGGGGCGGGAGCTCTGGCGCCGCGTGTAGCCGGGCCCGGCGGCCTTAACGCTGGTCCTCCCGCAGGAAAGCTGCGCTACGCCAACAACAGCAACTACAAGAACGACGTGATGATCCGCAAAGAGGTGAGGGGGCGCGGCGGGGGGCGCGGGCCGGCCGGGCGCCGTCATACTGAGGTGCCGCTTGCAGGCCTACGTGCACAAGAGCGTCATGGAGGAGCTGAAACGGATCATCGACGACAGCGAGATCACCAAAGAGGACGACGCGCTGTGGCCCCCGCCGGACAGGGTGGGCCGCCAGGTCGGTGTGCTGTTGCTGTTTCCTCAGGGCTCTTACGGTTCTTATGCGCGCTAATTAAAACTGCGATTGGACTTCTAACCCAGCATCACATGTAGGAAGGAGAGCTAATTCAATTAAGAGCTAATTCAAACCCTAAATGGCAGTTTAGCTGTGAGAGTTAATGTGAGTCACAGGCACGGTGCATTCATACCCTGCAATAAATAAAAGTCGTCACCCCGGTGCTTGAATTTTTCTACTGCCACGGTGCAGCAATCTGACATCATATCATCTTTTGCTTCACAGGAGCTTGAAATAGTAATTGGTGACGAGCACATCTCCTTTACCACGTCAAAAATTGGTTCGCTCATCGATGTAAATCAATCCAAGTATGTACTCTGCTTTTGTGTTGCTGTTGTCTTTATGTAGCCTTCTATATTAGAACCTACTGATTATTAGGTGCTCATACTTTATGTGGTTTGAAACTACTGATCAGCTCCTGGAAGCACTGGTACTCCCTGTTGCGACATAATTAACCTCATGTCATTGCTTGACAGATTTCAAATTCACTGAGCAGCTAACCTTACTACAAGAACACCTGTTAGATGCGTTCAGAGAGTCAGTCTGAACTAAACTGTCTCTGGCCTGTGTACATCCATGTTTCTAACAGAACCAGGACTTCTGTATTTCAGAAAAGGCTGCATATTTTGTTTTGTAAGTGCAAAGCGATGCTACTATGCAGTGATAAAAACGCACATCCTGTCAAGACTTAGAACATTCTGCATTCCATGTTTTTAAGGTTTATCAATCGATAGAAGAATAAATTAATGTTCTGTCAACAACAACCCCTAAAAAATCCTGCTATAGTTTTTTTTTTGTGTGTGTGTGTGTGTGTGTGTATAGACCTATGTATAGGTTAATTCTAAAAACTGCTCTTACAACTTAAGTCTTCTTTTTCCTTTGTTCCTTCTATTATGCACTGCAGGGATCCAGAAGGTTTGAGAGTGTTCTACTACCTGGTCCAGGACCTCAAGTGTCTAGTCTTCAGTCTTATTGGACTACACTTCAAGATTAAGCCAATCTAAATCAAACAAACTGAAGTTTGTACTGCAGTGTCTGTACATTGGGGGGAGAGGGGGGTATGCTTTTTCAAATCCTTGCTTCTTCAGGCCCGAAGCTTTTATGTATGTTAGAATTTTTTTTACAAACTGTAAGTGACTGTCTTAATAAACTGTTGACATCAATATTTTTAATTTAAAATTTCTGGTGATAAACTGACTTCCTAACACTTCTTTTATCATGGTACATTTAGGAAATGTCATTTCAGTTGTATCACAAAGGTATATTTCACTTCTCTATGCAGTAGAATTAAGCCTCGCATGGCTCTGTGAAAATATACTTCTGTCAGCTGCCAAGATAAACTTTTGTTACTAATTGTTGCCTTAGGAAGGCCCGATCAAAACAACTCAAACCCTGGCTCAGCACATGAGGCATGGTTATAGCAAAGACACAAGATGTAACAACCTCCTGCTGTACCCACTTGCCTTTAGAGCAGAAGTAGACAACAGACTGTGCAGGGGCCATCCAGGATCTTCAGATGCTCCTCCCATGCAGCTTCTCTTGGAAGAACTGAAACTTAGAAATGTGGAACATGTTAAGTTCTAGACTAGCATACCTTTTTCTAGACTAGCACACCATTGCTTAAGAGGCATAGAGGAGGACCAAGCACGTGTCTCAAAGTGGTAAGTTTTGTAAGCACTACAGAAGTGGATGGATAGCTTTCCTCACTAATGTGAACTTGAACTGGCAGCCTGATGTGTGCTGGTGCCCACCTCACAATGAGTGGAAGTGCGCTGTCTTGCTTTTAACTCCCCAGTTAAGCCTGGAAGTGAAAGAAAATCAATGTAAGATACAGAACTTTTAAGCCGTGGTGAAACTTGCTTAAGACTTCTGCAATATGTAAGGTGCACTAACTAAAACTGTGCTTCTTTCAAGTGATTTTTCTGCTGCAATGGGAATCTTATCAGAACCAGATCCGGATTAACCAGCAATTTTCTTGTAGTGTGGCAGGTTTAACTTAACTTTAGCCAAGTTTTAATGTGCATTAAGAGACTTTTCTGCATATTATATGGAGCTCAAGAAAAGCAACTCCAGTTTACAAGGGCTGTTATGTGCCTTACCTGAGGCACAACATCAGCTCTGTGGCTGACGGTACTACAAAGCATCTGGGTGAATCCTCTGAAGCTGAAATCCGTGTTATTTGAATAGGAAGCAATAAAGAGTCCTCCATTCTGCTCAATGTAACCAAAAATGCTGTTTCCTAAGAAATACAAAAGAGCAGGTTATGTGTCGGCGTGCTAATTACTGAAGTTCATCTTCAAGTCCTCTGCCCAAGCCCTCCCTCAGGCTTTCCCTTCTCTGGCCATGATCTTTTCTGGGCAACCCTCTGCCTTCCCGCACCGCCCCTGCCTCGTCCCCGCAGCGCTCGCCATTCCTGCCCCCCAGCCTTCCCATTCGGCCCCGCTCCCGCTCAGGGCGGTGTCAGGTCGCGCCGCCGGGCGCCATCTTGGCTGTGGGCAGCTCGGCTTCAAGTCGGCAGAAAGCGGCGACCGCCATCGTAACTGAGGGCAAAAGCGCACGGCCAGGAGGGTGCCATGGGGGTAGGTCGGGGCCGCGGCCGGGCCGTGCCGGGCCGACCCGAGCCGAGCTGACGGGCTGTCGCTGCCTCTTGCCTTGCAGAGGATCGGGCTGCAGCTGCGAGCTACCCTGGAGAACATCACCCGGCTGCGGGCCGAGGGGGAGGACTTCCGCTGGTACCTCAAGGTGCGGGCTGCGGGAGCAGGGATCGCCGCTTTTAGCCTGAAACTGCCGGGCACGGTGCTATAAGAGTCACATCTGCCCCCTTGAGCACGGCGAGCTGCAGAGCTGCTGCGCTTTTCCCCACGCGGTGCAGGCGGGCTGCTACAGGAGCCGCTCATGGGTTCCCAACGCACGCGTGGCACCGTGCGCTGCTTAGCTACCGGGGCGGTCTGTGTGAAGGGTAGAGCCTGCACTGCTGAGGCAGGTGCTGAGCTGACATCCCCAGCGCACGGCTGCAGTAAGTGACGAGCTGCGTTCTTCCCATCTTCTGCTTAGTGGCTGCATCTCGCAATACGTGTGCCGCCCAATGCACCTAAATTCTCTGATTTATGTTATTTTTCAGCTGAAATGCGGGAACTGTGGTGAGGTCTCTGAAAAATGGCAGTACCTCCGGTTGATGGTGAGTTTCCCCGTGGTAACCTGCATCAAACAAAGAAAACAAGCCTGCCTTGTACATGCAGTGAACAGGAACATCAGCGTGCGACAGATGCACATCAGATGAAATAGCTCCTGGTGATAGCAGCCACATGCAGTCAGGAAAAGCTCTTGTATTTTGTATTCAAAATATATATGGAGACTTAATTGAAATAAGCCATTGGAATGGTGACTCGGTGATAAAATATTGACACCTGCTTTGAAAAGCCACCTTTCTGTAAAAACATCAGTTGAAAACAAATTTTGAAGTGATGTTGGGATAAGCTTTGCTTAAGGAACGTTGTTGGAAGTTAGGCAATTTGGGGGGAGTTCAGCATGCTGGATGAGCATTTGGAAACTGAAGAAGCAGAGTAAATTTGTCAGGGATAAAAGAAGGCTTTGTTATTAGAAAGGCATTATCATCTCCACTGAATGCATTTTGAGTTATTAAGGACATAACTATATCATTATTCAGTGTTTTAAATCTAGAACAGTTACTGGAGAATTACAGCTTTCTGAATTACACATCTCTAGTTTCTAAAAGCCTTCTCAATGCTTTTAAAAAGCAAAAGTTGGAGACTTCTTGTAAAACAAAGAAGCACACACAAAAGCTGTACCTTTGCAGGGGCTTCCAGTGACTCAGCTAGAATGGAATTAAAAATATCTCCATTGTTATGGTCTGTAGGACAGTGCTCCCCTGAAAGGAGGCAGAGGAAGTGCCACTATGGTGCAGAAATGCAAGTTGTGCTCCAGAGAGAACTCCATTGGTATGTGTTTAGAAACCCAAGACGCATCATCCACGTTATACTTTTCTCCTACATCTATTTTTCAGTCCCAATTTTTGTTTGAAACATTTCCAACCCCCCCCCCCCCCAAGTACACTGATATTTGAGTAGCCAGCTGATACTGTCATGCTTATGAAGGAAATTGAGAGGTCAGTTGGTCATCAACAACATAAAAAAAGAACTTAAGTCCACAATGTTGGACAGTAGGAACAACATGGCCAACTTCACAGCATGGCTGGATCATTTTTTCTTTTTGAGATTCGAGCAAATAGTCTGATTTAAAGAGATGCAGCTACTTGGCTAGCTCAGGATGTCACATCTGGTTTTTCCACTGTATTCTATCTTTCTCTAATTGGGCTTTTCTCTCTATTGGGATGTAACTGCTGCTTTATAAAGACATATAAGAAAACAAACATTAGAAAAGCGTAGGATGAACTAGGCTGAGAGTTATAACTCCCGTTAAATACATAAAACAGTAATAAACTAAATGCATGGTTATGAAAGTTACTTGCAGGTTCTTTGTTGCTCTTTGCAAAGGAATCAAAGGATTTCCACAAAGGCAGCTTTGGGGGTAGAGCTGGAGATGCTCACACACACACACACACACACACACACAAAAACAACTGTACAACAATGTTCCTTGCAGCTGATGGTTTCTCAGGCCTCCTGGTTAGTTCAGGTTTCTGCATGAACAGAGCTCTCATCCTTTAAGTCATTTTACAAAAGTATCATTTGAATTTTAAATTTTTTTTAAATTTTATTAGCAAGATAACAAAATGGTATAGCGTAAACTTCTCCAGAGGAGCAAGAATAATTCTATCTTTTGAAGAACAACTGCAGGAATTGCTCGCTTACTTTGTTTCTTTTATTCTTAAGGATTTCTTTTCGGAAGGGAGAAACAGCTGGGACTTGGTTTGTGCTATGTTCTGAAGATGTGCTGCCACTCACTTTTACACATCTGTTGTTTTTTGTTTTTTAGATATTTTAAGTCAGACAATCAAACCATATAATGTAAGTTTGTTTTCTTTTATGCAAGTGAAATATGAGTAGATATTAATAGTATTCCCAGTTCTTGCTGTATCATCACATTCCCCTTTCAAGAATACATAAACTACATATGTTCACGTGATAAAAAAAAAATTGTCTCTTATAGACTTCTGAACAGTCTAATGGAGAATAAAATTTGCATTAACAGAGCTCAGTCTCAAATATAGAATGATCTGTGATACATTTCACAAGCAAAACATGAAACTGTATTACTGAAATCACAGGTGATTGTTTCCTTTTGAAGGCTTCCTTGTGGCAGAGCAAGACATTCAGCTAATTACAACCCATTAAACTAGCCCTAGGATTTTGCTGTCACTTGGGACATCAGAGTTGATAGTACTGCCTATAAAGCAGTTCATTCCCAGAGTAATATCTGTCACTGTTTTATTAGCTGAAAACTAACAGTATTCTGACTCAATTATAGGCTGAAGACAGTGAGAAATTCAAGACAATAGTGGAGTTTGAATGCCGAGGTTTGGAACCAGTTGACTTTCAGCCACAGGTGAGTTCATACTTGGGATCTGTTTATCAGTTTTTAAGAGCACTTCCAGACTCTAGAGCAATTAAAATATAGTTTTTGAAATGTTGCTGCTCTTCCTGGAATGTCCTGGACCTCCCTGATTTTCCATCTTCTCCACAGTACTTTATTCAACTTCAGGAAATCACAAACAGCACAGCACTTCTGGAATTCTTTGTACTTGTGTTCCAGTAGCATAAAATACCCCTGGGTTACTCATAATGCCTTACACGTGGCTGAGCATCACTCATCTGAACTGATCTGAAATGTCTTCATTGCTCAGGTTATTGCAAACGGGAGTCTTTCAGAGGGGAACTGCAGGAGCATGCAGGTAGCCACAGTCAGGGGAGCTCCACTTTGGTTATTGATACATTACAACAAAAATAACCAACGTTCCAGATATGAACAGTCATCAATATATGACCTCTCCATAAATCTTGCAATATGACATCAAAGCTGTAGGAAACGTATTGGTAATCTTCCTTTGGAAACTTGCTCAGACCAAAACCGAGGAAGGCAGTTAAAGGCTGTTGCAAAGCACACTTCAGGGTTCAGAGTCAAAGGATTTCTTCACTGCCAAGCCGGTTCCTAACAATTCATTTGCTTGTGCATGCTCATGCTGTATGCAGTCTAACTCC